ATCCTATAGTATGTTTCTACATTTAACTCTCCATCTGTTATAGGATTAGCACGGTTTTTTTTGTTTTTTAATGATTCTTTTGTGTGTTAATTCAATGTCTAGTTTAGCAGACATGTCCTATAACAAATTATACTCAGCTTAATATAAGTGATTATATTATAATGATATATTTTATACCTTTGCTTGACTAAATGTTTTTTTAAATTTACAATCACAATTACTTCTAATTAGCTTTAGCTCTGTTACTATATCTTCTGTGAGATTGACTGCTTCTTTTAAATCAATTCGCTCTCTTTGCAACTGCTTGCATAGAAGCAAACCATATGAAAACAGTAGCTAAATACATACAATTTACAAATTAAATTACAACTAATAACTTATTACAAAATATACAATTTACATTACAATAGGAAATAAATTATTTTAAATTTATAAAAAATAATAATATTCACCAACAACATAAACTGATACAATTTAATAACTCTGAATCAATTGATTTTATAAGCATATTGGCTTCTATAGCAGTTCCTGATGAATCTTTCCAATCTGAAATTAATTCTAAAGCTTCTAATACAAAATCAAATAATTCCACAAAATCATGTACAGCATCATAACGCTGTACCCATCTTGTAGCACATAGTCTTTTTAAGGCTTTTTATTTTTATATCAGTATTGCTATTTTCAATACAAGATAATAATACATTATGAAGTTTAGGAGTATTGAAGAAAATATGTAATTTCTCTATAATACCCAAACAGTTTCTAATGGGTTGTATGTTACATGCAGTAGATACAGCCAAGTTCAATAAGTGGGCTGCACAATGTACATATATCGCTTTAGGGAAAGTAGTTCTAATGTGTGTTTGAGCACCATTGAACTGGCCTGACATGTTTTTAGCACCATCATATCCTTGGCCATAAAGGAAATTGCAGTTTATTCCACATTCAGTTAATCCTAAAGTATAAAATCTTAGTAAAGTATTCTAAAGTATAAAATATTTTATTTATTAGTTACCACTTAAAATAGACTCCACTAGATTTTTCCCAGTTAGGCTATTTACAGGTATAAATTTTAGAAAATTTTCTTTAATATTATATTTTGAATCAACATATCTCACACATAATGCTAACTGTTCGATAACTGCTATGTCAGTGGTTTCATCAGCCAACACGGTAAAACAACGAGAGTTATTTACTTCATTTACTATTTCTTTTAAAATTATTTCTCCACATGCTGAAATTATTTCATTTTTAACTTGAGGTGTGATGTATTTATTTCTTCCTTGTTCTTCTAAATGATGTTTTAAATAATCATCACCTTCACTCCGATAGTTAAGTATAGCTCTAAAATTATCTACATTGGTTGATTGGTTGTTGCTGTCTATTTAAAAATTGAATAGATGTATTTTAGTATTTATTAAAAATATATATATACAATTTTATAAACATTATAAAATACTAACTTCCAGAATCCCTGTGGCATCGCAAAGTTATTTCTTGACGACCACACAAGATCACACAATTAATAATTGAAATAAGCTTTTTTCTATTTGATTTGATTTGTTCAGCTCTTAATTAAAATTATATAAAATAAAGTAAGTAATTATGTTTAAAAATAATATTGCATATTAGATACATAATTATTAACTACTTAGTAGTAGTATTAGGTACATGTATGATATACTATACAAAAAAAACATGGTTAGTAAATCAGAACCAACCTTTCTAAATCTAACTGATTAATGATTGATAATTTTTGTTTAGAATAAACACTAAGAAAATGGTTAGAGTCCACGACACAATGTTCATGATAAAGCTTTTTAGAATGTTCACGTAAAATCTAAAATACAGTCATAGCAATTTAATAAGATATATTGTAAACATTAAAAAAGTACTATATTATAAAAACCTGCTTGGCATTTTTCCATTCATCTAAGGCCCTAACAGCAAGTTGACCTAACGGCTGATTATTTATACCACGAGATTTTGTAGCCATTCAAACTCAGTCAGCCATTTGTATTGAAATCTTAGACCACGGTTTTTGTTTTTATCAGTTATCGGAAAACTATAATTTGGCGGTGGTACCCATACATTTGTAAGAACCTGTGAAATATGAATAAATAAAAAAATATCTTCAACAGTTAAATTTTTAAATTAGCCAAATATTATGAAAAATTTAAATTAATGTTTAGTAGGTATATACCTAACAAGTATCATAGTATTGGTTACTTACAAGATATTTATCTTCATCAGCCAAAGCATGTTTATGAACAAATAAACCTATATCATTTTGATGGTACTGTGCATTGCTACTTAAGCATTGAATCTTAAAATGTAAGAAGAATAAAGCA